AGAGGAGGGAGAGCTTGTACCTGAAGGCGGGCCGGGGGGGGGGAGGAAGGCTCTGCAATTTACCTGGCTGCTTCTTGCTCCTCGTGGCCCAACTGAGGGGTGCTGGGAGCAGGGGGTGGGGTTTATTGCATGTGTTCACCCCCTGGGCTCCTTACTGCCGGAGCTCTGCTCCTGTGCGCTCCTGCAGGAAATGACCGCTGATGGGAACGAATACTTTACATAAGGACCTTACCTCCTCATACGCTGAAAGTTCTCCGTATAAGCTTTTTCTATTCATTTTTTGAGTATCTACAATCTTTTTCTTTGCTTTTAAACTTATTTTCAACCAGGGATTCTGCTGGCGACTGGCCGCACATGGAAGCATCAGAGACGATTTTCCTTGATGGCTCTGAAAAGCCTGGGCTTGGGGAAGACCAGCCTGGAGTACCAGATCCGAGAGGAAGCCGGCCACCTCGTGGAGAACTTTTCTAACAGCAAAGGTACAGTATGTCTGAAGAAATGTGTGCCAGTCTGGTGTAGTGGTTAAGAGTGCGGACTCTAATCTGGGAGAATTATTTTTATTTATTTATGTATCAATTCATTTATTAATGTATTAATATAATTTATTAATTGATATTTATTAATTTATTTATCAAACCGGGGTTGATTCCCCTCTCCTCCATATGCAGCTGTTGATGTGACCTTGGGCCAGTCACAAGCAATGTTCCCTCTAAACTCTGGAGTCTTGTGAGCAAAAATGCTGCTTTGTGAGCTACTGGCATTAAACCTGTGAGCCAGCAATTTGGCTACTGCACAAATTACTTTGCTTCAGAGCCATCCTTCCTGAGCTAAGACAAAAATGTGTGAGCCAGAGGCTAAAAAACTGTGAGCTAGCTCACACTAACTCAGCTTAGAGGGAACACTGGTCACAAGCTCTCGCAGAGCTGTTCTCTCAAGAGCAGTCCTCGAAAGAGCTCTCTCAGCCCCACCTACCTCGCAGGGTGTCTGTTGTGGGGAGAGCAAAGGAAGGAGATTGTAAACTGCTCTGATACTCTGAGTGAAGGGCAGGGTATAAATCTGATTTCTTCTCCCTCTTCCTCCTTTATTTTCCTCCCCATAAATCTTCAGTTTTTAAAAAAGACCCTTTGGCAACAGATTACAGTATAGCTCAACTGCAATGGAATTTTGGTGCTTCCCCCCCCCCCCCAATACTGTGCTTTCAATCCACTTTCAATGCACATTAGTGATGGTTTGCAAGTGGATCTTGCTGTTTCCCACAGTAAAATCCAGCTGCAAAGTGCACTGAAAGTGCATTATCCGATGTGTCACAGCCTTTAGGCCGGCCCCAGGACAGTTTCATTTGCAGGAGTGATTTTGCCTATTTTTGAAGAATGAGGCCTTCAGCCACAACAGCTGCTTTCAAAAACCAAAACTTCAGCTACGGTGTAAAATTCCAAGACTCGGATATCAAACCTTGTCACAGCTGTGAATCGGAATGAGGATTCGAAAATGACTTGTATTCTGTGTCCTCCCAAGAAGGTGTTACCAGAGCGTATGTAACCGTGATCCTCCTATGGACCTGCATCTCCAACAAGTGGTTTGACTTCAGAGAACATAAGAACATAAGAGACGTCAATGTTGGATCAGGCCAGTGGCCCCTCCAGTCCAACACTCTGTGTCACACAGTGGCCAAAAAGACCAGGGGGCATCAGGAGGTCCAGCAGTGGGGCCAGGACACTAGGAGCCCTCCCACTGTTGCCCCCTCCAAGCACCAAGAACACAGAGCATCCCTTGCCCCAGCCTGAGAGTTCCTATAAGAACATAGGAGACGCCAATGTTGGATCAGGCCAAAGGCCCATCCAGTCCAACACTCTGTGTCACACAGTGGCCAAAAAGACCAGGGGCCATCAGGAGGTCCAGCAGTGGGGCCAGGACTTTTTCTTTGGAAGGCAAGCAGTTCAGATTCCCTAAACCCACCCTGCATTCCGAGATCCAGTGTGCTTAGAGCAGAGATGTCAAACCTATTTATTATGAGGGCCAGATCTGACATAAATGTCACTTTGTCGGGCCGAGCCACGTGTGCCATAAAATGTAATGCCAGGTGCTGGAGGTATCGCCTGTATAAAGGACACAGGCAAACCAAATTAGCCCCAGCCTGAGAGTTCCTATCTATGCCTTGTGGCTAATAGCCGCTGATGGACCTCTGCTCCATATGTTTATCCAATTCCCTCATGAAGCCGTCCATGCTTGTAGCCGCCGCCACCTCCTGTGGCAGTGAATTCCATGCATTAATTACTCTTTGGGTGAAGACGTACTTCCTTTTATCCGTTCTTACCCGACCGCTCATCAATTTCATGGAGTTCCCGTGAGTTCTTCTATTGTGAGAGAGGGAGAAAAGTACTTCTTTCTCGACCTGCTCTATCCCATGCATAATCTTATAAACCTCGATCGTGTCAACCCTCATCTGTTGTTTCTCCAAGCTAAAGAGCCCCAAGTGCTTTAACCTTTCTTCACAGGGAAAGTGTGTGGGGACGGAAAACCTCTGGAGGCATGCCCGGGGGTTCATGTTCTCACAGGGAGATTGGGAAGCAGTGCACAAGGTGGTAAACATCTGCTGAGATCACCAACTTGGCTAAGGCCAGGTAAAGATAAGGAGGAGCTGTGAGCAGAACACATCCTGTTATTCGAGCTGAGAGTACGCTTGTAGCTTCTCACTATACAGGGAGGGGGGAGGGAAGAGGGTGAAGTTAATCTAATAAAACGCTGCTCAGCCTAGTCTGAGACAGACAGCTTCTGCAGATCTGTGTCTCGTGTCATTCTTGAACCCTCAAGCCTTCAAAAGTGTTCCAACCTTATCATTCTAGTTGCCCTTTTCTTCACTTTTCCCGATTCTAGTTGCCATTCCCAGCTGGAAGAATATGTCTGAAGCCGGGACCTCACAACTATTTATTGTTAAACAAGTTTCAGTCTAAGGTTCACGGAGAATTTCGTGCTCTTCAGGACATATGAACATTTGAAGCTGCCTTATGCTGGATCAGACCATTGGTCCACCAAAGTCAGAATCTTCCACTCAAGCTGGCAGTGACCTCCCAGGCTCTCAGAGTCTGGTCTACTTCATAAGAACATAAGAGATGCCAATGTTGGATCAAGCCAAAGGCCCATCCAGTCCAACACTCTGTATCACACAGGGGCCAGAAATACCAGTGCCATCAGGAGGTCCACCAGTGGGGCCAGGACATTAGAAGCCCTCCCACTGTTGCCCCCCCCCAAGCACCAAGAAGACAGAGCATCACTTGCCCCAGAGCCCCTATCTATACCTTGTGGCTAATAGCCACTGATGGACCTCTGCTCCATATGCCTATCTTCATCCTTTTAGTTAGAGATGCTGGGAATTGAACCAGGGATATTCAGCAGATGCTGTACCACAAAGCCATGGCCCTCAAGATTTTGTTCCTATGTGAATTCTGTGTCCGCATGTCGATTTCTGTATCCCGTGAATGCATCAAGAGCAAATCCAGGAATTGGAGCATTTGAAAAATGTAGATATGTGTGTGTTTTTATCAATGAGTTGATGGATCTCAAATGAGAGCCAGTTTGATGTAGTGGTTAGGAACGTGGACTGTAATCTGGGAGAATCGGGTTTGATTCCCCACTCTTCCACATACAGCTGACCTTGGGTCAGTCAGAATTCTCTCCCAGCTCTCAAGGGCAGTTCTGGAAAGAGCTCTCTCAGCCCTGCCTACCTCACAGGGTGTCTGTTGTGGGGAGGGGAAGGGAAAGGAGATTGTCAGCCGCTCTGAGACTCCGAGTGAAGGGTGGGGTATAAATCCAATCTCTTCTCTTCTTCTAAATGAGTTGATGGATCTCAAATAGGATATGACACCTGAGTTCTTCTTGTCGCATTGACTTAGGAGGGAATTTTTGCTGTCAAAATGTCACTCCGAGGCAACTGAGATGTCTCGTGGCTTGCATAATAAGAGTCGCGCAAATGCGAGTGTGAAACTGATTTAATCATTTCCCTGCCCCGGGATAAGCTTGGAAGGAGAGTCCTGCCAGGGAAGGCTAATTAGCCCTGACAACACATTCTCCGCTCCCTTTTGCAAATGCAGTTGGTATTTAAAAAACAAACAAACACACAACTGATACCTCCCCTGTACTGACCTTGGGAATTTTGTATTGCATTGTCTGAATACTATATGCTCTATTGCTCGACCCGAGTCTAGCAGCACCTTAGAGGCTAATTAGATTTCCCGGGTACGAGCTTTTGAGAGTCAAAGCAACCTTCATCAGATATCCGATGTCGGATGCATGATGCAGGAAGCTTTCACTCTCTGAAGAAGAGAAGAGAAGAGAAGAAGAAGAAGAAAAAGGAGAAGAGAAGAGAAGAAGAAGAAGAAAAAGGAGAAGAGAAGAGCCAGTGTGGTGTAGTGGTTAAGTGTGCGGACTCTAATCCGGGAGAGCCGGGTTTGATCCCCTACACCTCCACTTGCACCTGCTGGATGACCTCGGGCAAGCCATAGTTCTGATAAGAGCTGTCCTTGAAAAAGAGCAGTTTCTGTCAGAGTTCTCTCAGCCCCACCTACCTCACAGGGTGTCTGTTGTGAGGAGGGGAAGGAGATTGTAAGCCGCTCTGGGACTCCTTTGGGTAGTGAAGGGCAGGGCATAAATCCAATGATCTCCTCCTCCTCCTTCTCTTCAAGCTCTTACCCTGAAAATCTTTTTTTTTAATATAGATTTTTATTAGATTTTCCAACAGTTATTAAAACAAAGACAACACACAAAAAACCCTCCCCCATGATACAGCCAATGTTATAATAATCCCATTATAGTCATAGTCAAGTCATATTCCTTAATTCATAAATTAAATACATCCGCCATCTTAATTATTGCATAATACATTCTTTTCCTCCAGCTTAAAGTTCAGCTGTTTCCTTCTAATTTGTTTTGTTCATTCTGCTAGAAATTAACATTCCCAATTATTTTTACAAAGACTGACATAATATATAAATCAGAAAATAACATAGCCTTAGTTAGTACCTGTAATACCTTTAATTCATCCCATCTCTTAAATTGTATGCGCCCAGCAAAAGATTAATCAACTAAAGTCTGTCACTTAACTAGTTTTTTTTAAATCTCTCGCTGAGTTCATTCTTGATACAGACATGTAATATAACGTTTCTCCTTCTATTAATTTACACACAATCACTAAACCCTTCTTTCCCTCTCTTCAGTCCAAACACTCTAATACTTCATGAAAAAACTTTTTAGCAGGGCAGAACAACCTAACTGGAATGTAAATTGCAGGCCCAGAAAGCATATAGATCCTTAATGTTCAGGATCCAAGAAAAACAGACTTATATAACTCATATTATCCATTTACACAGAGGGGACCAACTCACATATATAAACCGACAGCTCTTCTTATATCTTATTCAAACCTAACTCATTATAGCTGCCTGGCTTACACTATTGATTGCCACCACCCTGTAAGATCATTTATGGTCAAAATAATTTTCAATTCTTTTTTGCAAAGATTTTCCCTGTGTTCTTTCGAATGCCTTTGATTTTTGTATTATTTTAAGGTACCTTTCCACTTAACTTTCCTCTGTGACCATGCTTCAAAGTTCATATGTTTAAACTCACAGTCTTTAATTTTCCATCGAATTCTCACCAGTCTTTTCTTCCTCTTTGAGGTCTTCCTCATTCTTTTCCTCTTCTTCTGGAAAAGGTTTATTTGCCTTTTTCCCTCTATTTTTATTTTCAAAGTTTTCTCCTCCTTCAATGGAACACCAATTGGTAAGACCAGTCTCTGCAACTCAATTTCTGTGGATGAATCTTGCTTTGCATATGTGTCTCCGTTCTGTTTAGTTTTATATAACTCATCTTGCCTTGATAAGTCTCTTAATTGTTCTGTGTCATACTTTTCCTCTTCATATTCAGATCGTATGTTACCCGTAATACTGCCCCAAACAGTTGCGAAAGCCTTCTTTATTTCTTCTGTCAAGTGTTTCTTAAAGTGGTCTGACGTAAGCTCCGCCGTTATTGCCTCCCGCAACTCTTTACCAGCTGCCGCCACCGCCAGCTCCATTTTCTTCCAAGTCGTAGCTCTCTTTCTTCCAATGGTCCTATAACCAATGTTCTAAATCATTCTTATATAACTATAGTCCTTTACAAAGCAAACAGCATTGTTTTTTTTCCCAGCCGAACATTTCTTTTATTTCCCCGTACCTTTTTTTTTTTTTAAGTCTCAGTTCCTCTCTCTTTCCACCGCCGCTTAGTTACATTGGAGGCAGGTCCTGGAAGGGGTATAAACAACTTCTTATCGTGGAATTCACCCGTGCAAACAGACAAGCAGATACAAATCCTTCGTAAGGGAAAAAGAAAAAAAGTGCCAAAAGGAAAAAGGTTTAAAATGGTCGGTCGCCGCTATGGACACATTCCGTGTTCCTCCACCGCGTCTTTGGCTTCGGGGCAACCGGCAACACCCCCCGCGATTTGCCGTCGGCGGGGGGGGCGGCAAGCCCCCTACCACTTCCTCTCCCTCCAGGAGTGGAAGCGGGGCTTAGCAGAAGAGCCCCAAAAAGTCGTGGGGAGCCGGCCGGTTTGGAGCACGCTCGAAACCCGGCCGTACCGCGGCGCCATCATACCGGAAGCTCGTCCTCTTTACCTTGTTTGGACTTATCATAGTTAAGCTGCAGCTTGTAGTTGGTAAAAAAGCAATGCAGTGAGACAACAACCTTCTCAAACCAGCTTTAGAGTGGGATAACAACACTGTGTCATCGGCATAGAGTAATACGGGAATATGTGTTTTTCCCAGTTTGGGAGTGTGACAATCAGAATCAGAGAGCTGGGCCACAAGATCGTTAAGAAAGATGTTGAATAAAAAGGGGGCTAAAATACAACCCTGTTTAACACCCTTGTTTGTGGCAATCTTAGGTGTCAATTTGCCTAGTGGTGAGCATTTGATCTGACATGTGTTGAGAGAATAAAGTTGTTTGATGAGTAGGAGGAGTCCATATTTAACTGGTCAAAAACATAGGAGAAACCAGTTTTAAAAGAAATGGGGGTGGAGGTGGGGAAAAAACTGGGACAGGACTAGGATATTTACAAAGTGGTTTGGACACCAAAAAAAGGGGTAATATTGGGGAATGAAAATGGAACTTTAAGGTGGTCTGGAAAATGGTGTAGAGTTCTGTAGCAAAGTAGATGTTATCTATTTGTAGCCTCCTGCTGCTTCATTCTCCCCCCACAATAAAAATCTGGGCTGAAACTTTGTCCCTTTCCATGAGTTTTTACATCATTTTTGTTCTTTCCCCCACTTCTGTCTCCCTTAGGTTTACGTGGTGCAATAGCATTTGCTCTGGCGATACGGGACACAGAATCGCAGCCTAAGCAGATGATGTTTACAACTACCTTACTCATTGTGTTTTTCACAGTCTGGGTGTTTGGAGGGGGCACCACACCAATGCTTACATGGCTCCAAATCAGGTTAGTAGTGTCAGATAATAACCTAGTGTCAAAAAATAATTGCTAATTATTGCTAATAATTGCTCTCAATGCTTTTGGCCCCGTTCACACAGAGGATTTGTCACGCTAAAAACACAAATGTCAGGTGGATTTTCAGGGCGCGATCACACTGCAACATCTGAGAAGTGTAGCACACCCATGGCCAACCCGTGGTGTCCCGCCGAAGATGCGCAGTAAAAAAGTACCTCAGAAAGTGCACTAGTATCCAGAAAACGCAGGGCAGGGGTGGGCATCTGATCGCAGGAGCGCTAGTATCCCATGACATCCGGCGCCCGACCACGTCCCGTCACAAACCGGATGTTTTTCATAAGAGCAATGCGCACAAACACATAAGTGAAAGCAGTGCTGCTCTGCAGAACTGCACATGCGCACAAACACGAAATGCTTGCCGCGCTGCTTCTTTGCCATGCTCCAGCATCGCCGTGTGATCGCCAGCTAACAGCCTAATGTTATGCCAACTGCTTTATTTACAGCAGAGGCTAACTAAATTTTTAACGTGAGTCCTGGCCAGCTATACCAGGGTCGTGTCCGAACCCAGAGTCCCAGTAATGTAGACCACACGGGTGTTTTTCCAAAACAAATAATCTTTTTACTGAAGGATATCAAAGTCACATACACACAAAAACATCAGTCTCACTTCGCATACGTTCAAGTTTCCTTTAGAGTTACAGAAATAGAAATAAAATAGATTCTCAGTTACTTGGAGGTAGGTAGGTAGCTATTTCGGTTTATACTCGCCTGTTTCCGGAAGTCTTGTCTGTTGCAATGGGAATGGGGTAGAAAGTAATACCTAGGGGTTTAAGCTAAATCACACCTGCTAGAACCAGCTGAGCAAGCATGGATCTCTTTGGCTGCAGTCCAAGAGATCTTAAGGTAGACAAAAGGATTGTTGGATAGAAAGCTGGACCTTAGGGGTAGTAAAGAAGATAGAGGTTGTAGAGAAGGGAGGTGGCTAGCAAAGACCTAGGGTTTGGGTCTTTACTTTTATAGGTGAATCTCCAGGAGGGTGGCACTTTGCCAATCTGTAATCCCACCTATTTACTAGTCCATCCCATAGTTCTTCCCTATTGGTGCATGTAAAAAGGGGCAGGTATCCTATGGGTTGGGTCAATATTTGAAATACTACACTCTATCTCATGGAATGCCATCTGGCCAGGTGTGAAATGTCGGCTTCCTGTATCCTCTTTGAAGTACAGATGAATCTTGGCTTTCCCAGGCATGAACAGGAAACTTGCAATACAGATGCAGATCAGGTCCGTGTCCTGCGTGACATCTCATCTTTTCAGTAATGGGGGAATTCCTCCTCCTTGGTTGTTGTTCTCTCCTCACAATGGGTAACATGTGCTCCTTCTTCCCATGATGCTCTGAGCTGAATGTGTGCAAGCTACATTAACATAAAATGCAGGCAAGTATTCCCTATATGAAGTCTCTCACAGTAGGTGATGCAAACAGCTTCCTTTGGCTCATGGTATACAAATGTGTGCACAGTCCATGTGCTGCGTGTGTAGCAGGTATAAAACCATAAATTAGTTCATTTCCCAACACTAAGCACGAAGACTCGGGGGACCGTGTGATCGGGCTACTGTGTTTTATTTTGCTCCGGGGCAAATAGCCATGCCTCCCCCCCCGCGTTATCTGGCCGCGTTATCTGGCCCGTGTGACCAGGGCCTTTGTATGTTTTCCTTATACAGACCCTTTGTTGAAGTTCATAGCTTTTAGGAAGCTTCCTCTGAGTTCCTACAATGATTTTGAGTATACTTTTGAGTCTTACTGTTTGCTTTGCTGGTGGAATTTCTGGAAGGATTGTGCTGCTAGGTTAAATCTTTAGTGTGGGCATTCTTACTCAGGTGTTAAGTAGAAGATAGTTGCTGATAAGCTATATTTATCCAAGCTTGGCCCGTGGCTAATTAATCAATTGATTGGGGGTCTGGAGTAATCTGCCATGAGCCATAGGTTTCAACTTGAATTGATCCTGACTTCTCCTTGGTGTATGCCAACAGCCTGGTTTAATCAGTTGCACCCCCTTCAAGAAATAGGTCAAATAAACAATGCTTTTCCCTCCAATGTGTCAGGAAGGGTGCTTTATCCAAATCATTCTCAAAGATTTTATTCATGTTGTCTATTGAGTATTCCTCTTGGAAACATTAACTGACACATTACTATGATTAATTGGTTGATTTACTAGGTGTAAATTTAAAATGTGGCTTTGTGCTGGGGTTTAATTGTTGCTGTCTTTTCTGAAGGGTTTCTCAGTGCTAATGACACTATATTATTCATTTAAATTCTAAATTGTAAGCCATTTCAACACATCAATCAGGATGACTTTTCTGATGACAAATGGTTTGCCTTTGTTATTTAGCCAAATGAAATCTAGCTTTGATAAATAAAAGATTACCTAACCTGAGATACTGTAATATATCAAATTGTTTTATGTAGGAATACTGGCATGTTGCTGTCCTTTTCCATCATGGTGGTTTAGTGAAACAGCAAAGATCATGTGAGATGGGCTGGGTAGTCCAGATTTGAACTCTCCAATAAACACTGGGTAGCCTTAGGCAAGCTGCTATCTTTGACCATCTTGAATTATACCATCTACCTAACAGAGCATTTTGTAAGAAGAACTGAGTTAATGTGCAGGCAAGAATATTGCTTTAAGTTTTGCTAAGCGTTACTATGAAATATTATTGTTGTAGTATCTATTCATTGGGACCATTTGTATGATGCCTCCACAGGCAGCTCATAACAATAAAAGTAAATCATAACAGTAAAAACATAGTAAAACAATCCAAGTCAATAATAATTAAGAACATCCCACTGAAAAATTACCACTAAACCAAGTCAACACATAAAAATGTATAAAACAGAGCAGTCTAAAATATTAATAAAACCATCCTCAGGCTAGGAACAGACCATAAAACAGTTTCAAAATATGGAAAGCCTTAGTTAAAGACCAGGGTAAACAGAAATGTTTTGGTCTGGCACTTAAAGGAAAGGAAAGTAGGTGCCAGGTGAGTTTTAAAGGGGAGGGCATTCCAAAGAAAAGGTGCTACCACCAGAAAAGCCCTGTTTCTGGTCACTACCAACTTTAAATCTGCAGACAGAGAGAATATAAATTGAGATGGGGATCTCAGCTGGTGGGCTGGACAATATGGGGGAAATAGTCCTTCAGGCACCCTGTAACCTTGAGGCAAGAATCAGCACTAAGAAGTGTGCTAAAAATAAGTTTGCAACATTATTAACTGCAGCAACTGCTTCCAGAGCTTATTAAAATGTGCACAAGTTGTCCTGAACATGTTGTTTAGGGTTGCCAGACCCCCAGTCTGGGTGGGGGTTCCCCTTATATTTTGGACTTCTGCCCATCCCCCAAACAGGGACATTGCATGGCAACATCCCCAGTGTGATGGCATCACATGGAAGTGACATAATCACATTGGGATGTCGCACAGCGGTGCTCTACTTTTGGGGCAAAACTCTATGGTTTTAGGCCAAAAAACCCATCGAGTTTTGCCCAAAGTGCAGAATGTTGCCATGTGACATTCCTGATGTGATGACATGGCTTTCGTGTGACATCGTGTTGGGGACATCATGTCCTTGCCCATCCCCAGAATCCCCCCCCCAGATCCTCCCACCATCAAGCCGAGGGGACCTAGCAACCCTAACATTGTTATTGACAGAATCTCTGAGACTCAAAGGATAATCTTTCTGCTCCATATTCTGGTGGCCCTTCTGTTGACTAGTGAGCTACTTTGAGCTGCAGGACTGAAGTAAGAAGGGATCAAGGCCAATTGGGAATAGTATTTGGCCTGTGCCTAGGGTTGCCATTTTCCTGATGAGACAACAACTAGAGAAACCACAGTCAGCAAATATGCAGAAAAATATAGCAAATATGACTGTGAAAGAAAGCACAAAAAACAATTTAAAAAATTCTTAAATAAAATGTCATCATTTCCTACTTTTTTCAATATGCATGTGATTATTTCTTAATGCAACTAATCATCCGATACAGAACATGTTCCAAATAATCGCAATGAAACAGCAAAGTAACAATCTTTACAAAAAATAAACTAATTACTTGTAAGTAGATGGCAAGTTGAGCAAACTTCAGAGGATGGCGGAAAACAGGAGGGCCTGGCGAGATCTTGTCCATGGGGTCGCGAAGAGTCGGACTCGACTGTGCGACTGAACAACAGCAAAGTTGGCAAGTAAACAATCAAAATGTTCAAATTCTGCAAGGGTTATTCCTGGTTATTTCTCATCTGGTTATTCCTAATCTGAAGTAGTCTGATGTCTTCCAGAGCATTTTTTGCCAAAGCAGCTGTCTTCTGTCAATGTGTTTCTCTGCTTTCCTGGTTCCCCTCTGCATCCTTCTCCATTTGACCTAATACCACAGCTTTGTTTTTATCCGGACAATTGCTCAGTTTTGATACAGCCCCTTTGCTGACTAAAACCTAAAATCTTGAATCAATGGCTAGAGAAGTTGCCTGATAGCACTGGCTCCCAGTCCTGCAAGTATGTGAACATGCAGTCTATATGGAAAGGTATCTACTTTAGCCAAAAAGGATGCAGGTGGGAAGCCACCACCATTAAAGAAGACATGGAGGAGGTACAGGAATCTTCATTTCAGTTCAGATTCTGAACTACATAGTAATTCTGAAGGGACTAATGATTATGAATTCTCTGTTCCTTTGCCTTAGGCTTGTATAATAGGGATGTATAGTCTCAAGACCATCTTTTTACTGACATTTGTAAGGCTGACAAAATCCAGTGTTCAATAGTACTTGATGCATCCCAGAAGATTATGAAATTCTTGAACAGTACATTATGAGAAAATGGCACAAAGAGAGGTAGTAATATGAATTCTGAGACGGCCTTCTGTTAAATGGCAAAAACCGATCATGTGGTTCATCTCACAGAGAGGAAATTCTATATGTTTTGCAATCTGCGATACAAATCAGTAAATC